TATATATATTGCAAGCGCATGCGCCTATTTGTGCACGTGCGCTTATGAAACCGGCAGCGGCACATGTCGTGACGTAGAGATGAGGGTGAAAGTTCAACAAATGGAACAGAGTGCAGCGACAACAACTCTAGAACCTTCAGTGGGAAAGAGATCCGTTGCTCTTTGAACAAAGATCTAGGGTAATTGCATTAAAAACATATAATCCTCATAATGATTTGTTCACTCACAAATTGCCCTCTTATTTTGGCCCCGCAGGTGGCAGTGTTGAAGACTATCCTGCGATCCCATCCAAAGATAAATTTGTCCGAGGTGTCACCGGCTGCATGTCCATGAGAGTGGAAGAAGATCCAGCGTAAGAACATTACGGAATTTTGTTATGTGAACAGGGATACGTTTATTGTATAATATGCATTAATTAGCAGAACGAATACGGATCCTCATATTCCGTCAATGTTACCCCTTTTTTGTTGTGGGAGGGTGGGAGGGGATCATCCTTGAAGATGACAGTACTTTCGGTTCCATTACAAGTTGTAAATAGCAAACTGCAATTTCCAGGTTTTTTGGTTGTTTTTTTAACAGGGACCGCCGATTTAAAAGAGATGTTTGTAAAGCTTCCTGGATTTACCCGATCCATTGAATTATGCCCTATAACGAAGAAACAGCGTTGTGGAACTCTTATGAACCGTCTTTGTAACGTCTTAAAATTCAACCATGTGCATTGAATCGTGCACTGGCGAACATATTATTTTAAACAAAACTGACATTGGTAAAGGGAAGGTAGTGGCTAAATGCAGTTTTTTGGACACCTGGATAGACATAGATCTAAGGGTCTTGTACATCTAGCTCTCACTGGCCAAATTGAAGGCAAACGAGGCAGGGGTAGACCCAGAACAATATACTTAAGGATCCTAAACAAATGGGTAACTCGGAAAGATCAGGGAAACGTAGCTTTTATGAGAGCATCCGAACAAAGGAATAAATGGAGAACCATGATCGCCGATGTCTGTCGCAGGTCTAGCACTGGATGAAAGGGCTGTTTGAACGGTGTGCTTCAGGGGTTGACCATTACATTCTTTCCAGACAAGCTCGAATATGTCTCTGGTAGTTTTGAATAACCCTGTGTCAAGTTTGTGAATCGATTTTTTGACCTCATCAATTGTTTGATTGTTTATGAGCTATTTCCGTAGACTCTTTTAAAAAATCCAAAAGAAACAGCCGAGGAGATTCAAGTCGGAGGAATGAGATAACCTTTCATTTGCAAGCTTTTGGCTTGTAAGGTTTTCCCTCAAACCTCTCATGCAACCATGTCCTAAGAACCCGAGTTTAACATGTGTGGTCATTGTAGTGTCTAAGTGCCAAACAACACTTACAAATACCACTTTTGACATAATGAGAAATATTTTTATTTGTGTTGGGAAGAGTATTTTTTTTAACAAGCTGAAAGAACCAAACTTCAACTTCTAACCAAACCAAATAATTTGGTCTCATCAGGCGCCCAGGTTACTCGAAGATCACATTTGTCCAAGAGGTGGATATGAAGGGAAGACTACCTCGCTCAATCATCGACTCAACCCTACCTGGCGTTGCCATCGGCGGCTTTCAGAACTGGAAGAAATATTTACGCCAGGAGGGCCTCATGGCGTGATCAGCCCAGTCCACCACAGCGCACATAAATAGGGCTCATTGGAAGAGCAACTCATGCTC